TGACTTGTCAGTATTACTTTACAGATAACACCTGTATGTCTTAAATAATACATGTGTACATTATTCATTTGAAGACTTTTATACGGTATAAAATTTCTGTGTATAAGAAAAATGAAAATCTACTTTTTCTAAAAATTTATTTTTTATACTAAGTAAAACTGATTCCGAAGAATATGTTATCTATATGTCCTAATCAGATAGAGAAAATGGTTTAGAGTTTTTATCATGTATGCAGCAAACTTTCCTGAAAAACAAAAATTTCTGCAACGTAGGTCTCAAGAAAGTTTCTTTTTTTGTCAGGAAGGGAGTTGATCGTCTAATCCCCTGTCCTGTTATCCAAATTCTGATAGGACTTTCTTTTCCATCAGTGTAACCTAGAGGGGAACATGAGTTAGACTAAGTATGTGTGAGGTGTATCCCTGCTGACATGTGTTATGTGTGGTAATGTTTGTGAGACTGTGTGTCTGCAATGATGCATCAAAATGCATGTTCCACCATTGTGGGATATAAGAGGAAATAGAGAGGGAGAGAAAGTGCTCCAAAAAGAGGGAAGAAGGACTGTTCAGGTGTAGTTTCTCACCCTCTAAAAGTTGAAGGAATCATATCAAAGCTAGAATAGTAAATACATTCCTCCATTCTCTGCTCCCAAAGAAGTAGAATTTGGAAAGCTCAGTGGGACAGGAGGAAAAATCTCACCCAGAACCTTTAAGACATTCATAAATGGCCCCACACAGTAGTGGAGCAGTACCTACTCAGAGAATCCATGCATCAAGGGAAATGGTACTTAGAGGACTCCAAATGCAGCACAGCCTAGGGTAGGGATCTTGATGTGGGAAAGGAAACACAGACGGACTGTGATTCTTCTACATGGGAGGTATGGAACAGGTGTTTGGCTGGAAGGGAATATTTTACTGTCAGATATTTCCTCACTCTAACCATTAAAATCATAGTCTGGGGTGGGGAAGGAAATGACACTTTAGCAAATGGAAATTTGAAAAAATACTACTTATAAGGATATACAAATCCTATAGAGTGAAGCGGTACTGGAAATACAGGGCTCACAGCACCTGCAGGAGTTATTCTCTTGCTTTTTCTCCATGTTTGTATTTCCCAGTTTGTATTCCAAGTATCTATTGGTACCATTGGCTCCATCTCTGAACTGTGGGTTCCTTAAGAATATTAATCATAATTTATTCATTTTCACATGCTTCTAGAGAACCTCACAAAGCACTCTGCAGTAAGGCCTTGACAGATATTTGGTAAACTGGATAGATTTTAAAAGGTCTTGTAGATTGACCACCAAATTAGAAGCTGGAAGATTTCAGTTTTAGGAGATTCTGCCACCAGTCAGCTTTCTATCCATAGACAGACCACTTGGCCTCTAGGTCCTTTTCATTGTCAGAGGGAAGAAGTTTTTCTAGATGATCTCCAAGATAACTTTCAGCTTGTAAGATTCTGAAGTAGAAAGTCTGTCTTCCTTTTGCCAAATGTAAACTATGTATCAACTGTATTAGTGACTATACACTCTATAAATGCAGTGGAAAGAGTTCTCATTAAATGTGCACAAATAAAACTGTTACTTAGATTAATGAAGTAACAATTAATCTACCTAAACATGATTACTAATATATTTTGTCTTCCTACTGTAAAAATAAAATAAAAACTTTAGCTGCTTTCATCTAGTGTGAATTACTTTCTTGGACTGACAGACATTAAATTTTTCTGTAACATGGCTTATCCTAATCCATTAGCATAATATTTTTAAATATTACCAAATGACCTTTGCAAAGTGTCCAAGTTATTTTCTCAGGAAAGAAAAAAAAAACTACTTCTAAGTAGAAATTTTCTGAGTGTGTAAGAATTTACTCATATTTTTAAGCTGTATTATTTAATTTCCTTTTGAATATGTGGGTCTAATAAATGTTTAGTACTTGATGTTCATATTTGGAACTTTATCTTTTTTTATACTGTTCTTCAATGTATTTCTCAATATTTCAATTATCTGAGTACAAATGACATTACGAAATTAAACTTATTAGAAGCATGAAATTTAGATGCAGGATCCATGTGAGAAGCACAGTTTTTAAAGGAGCAGAAAAGCTTCATTATGAAGAAAATTCAGTTGGAATGCCCTTAAATTCCAAATGAGAAATCTGTGAATGAAAAGAATTACAATTAATAAATTTAAGCCACTGTCACCTAAAAAAACCTCTTTATCAAAATGATCCTTTGAGGCCAGGCGCAGTGGCTCACGCCTGTAATCCTAGCTCTCTGGGAGGCCGAGGCGGGCGGATTGCTCGAGGTCAGGAGTTTAAAACCAGCCTGAGCAAGAGCGAGACCCCGTCTCTACTATAAATAGAAAGAAATTAATTGGCCAACTAATATATATAAAATAAAATTAGCTGGGCATGGTGGCACATGCCTGTAGTCCCAGCTACTCGGGCGGCTGAGGCAGAAGGATTGCTTGAGCCCAGGAGATTGAGGTTGCTGTGAGCTACCCCACGGCACTCACTCTAGCCTAGGCAACAAAGCGAGACTCTGTCTCAAAAAAAAAAAAAATGATCCTTTGAGATGAATATGATGAAATGGTTAAATTCACTGAATCAAGGTTGTTTTAGACGTGTTATTTAGTGCCAAATATTGGACTTTATTGTCATAAGAACCACTAAAAAACATACACACAAAAAAAACAGTTTTCTATCTGCAAGCACAAGGCAATGACCGCTGGAGGGAGAATCATCAACATAAGACTCCAAGACCATTGCCGGGATAGAGAAGGTTGCTGTAACCTAGATTCTCCCCCTTTCCACCCTGACCCAGACAACTGGTGGTATTGACCTGGAACAACTGATCACTTCATTTCACCACTGAGGCGCTGTGAAATTAAAAGGCAATGGCAACTTCCTCCCAGGCTCTGATGTATTATTTCAGAATCCATCAGGGGGTGTTGGGTGTCCCTGGGGCCCCAATGATCACTTAATTTATAAATGAGGAAGGGATGTCAGGACATGTTTCACTCCATCTTTCAGATGACTCCAGAGAGTGATCTAGACACAGGGCAATGGGCATTGTTGATGGACAATTCTGGAATTCCTTCCAGATGTTTACCACTACTCTTGAGGACCTCAAGCTAGGCCTGGATCCTCATGGTTCCCTCCCCGCAAAAATGATCTGCCTGGGCACCTCTGAGACGCCAGCCTTGCTATCCTTTGCACCATCAAAGTTAAACGTAATAAAAAGATGGGAACGTGCTAATTACATTGGGTTCATTTTTTTTTCCACTGGTGCATAAATTAGCCCGAAGAATGATTAGAGGGGGCGCTCTTGTCCCTGCAGTACTAGACCTAACCATTACCAGGTATTGGTTAGAAAGTCGTCGGTTTTCCTTCTTCCTTCTTAGAATTGATAATTAAAGGAAACAAAGAGGATGCAGCAAATGAATAGCCGTTGGCAACGCCACCCGCCTACAAATAAGCACCAACTTTACTTCCCCAGAAGTATTCTTTTTCTTCTAAAAGGGATTTCTGAAAATGATGATAGGTCAAAGCCTATGGCAATGAATGGTTGTTCTACATGGGGACAAAAACTGATATGGGTATTTATCACTTAATTATCATTTAAGCAGGAAGAAAAAGAGAAAGTGTGAGCACAAAACTGTAAAATCTTTTGGGGGAAAAAAAATTGAGCGGAATTCCCTCCAGCACTTAACTCTTCCCCTCCCTACCTTTTTAAAGCAAAGGAAGTTCCAGTGGGCAAGGATTAAGTGACTGATCGTGGGCGCTGACTGACTAAGGCGCGCTAGAGAAAGAGGGGAGCCCGCGGTGCGCACACAAAGCCGCGGAGTTCCCAGGCGGTGGGCGGCCTTGCCCCGGGGCACCACAGCAGGAAGCACCCGGGGCACCACAGCGCGCCAGGAAGCGCCCTCGGCTCTAGGGCTGCCTAGCCGCTCCGCTGGTGGCCGGGAGAAGTTAGTCACCCGGAGTCCCAACTCAGCGAGTGTCACAGCGCGAAGAGGCTGGGGAATGGGCAGGGAGGAAAGCCGGTACCGGGACGGATGGGAGGAAAGGAGAAGAGCGCGGGGGTTAGGGGACACACGGGAAGCCGAAAGCCCTTGCTGGTGGATGGAGTTGCAAGGTGTGCGGGGCCAGAGCGCACGGGTGTGCAACGGGGAAAAACTTGCGGCGGCAGCCTCCTACCGAGGGCAAGAAAGGCAGGCGAGAAGGAGGCAGGGAGAGACTTGAAATGTCTCAATAACTTTAAAAACACCCTTCAGGACATGAGGTAAGCCGAGGTTAGCCAAACCCAATTGGTTGTGAAATATCAGACGGACCCGGAGTCGCTGTGGCTTTAAATGAGGCCAAGGAGATCTGTTTTTCTTGCCCAAATACTTTTTTCCCCTCGCCTTCGCTTCCTCTCTTGTCCCTCCTTCCACCTTGCCAGGTCCCAGTCCCGTCCTCCTTTCTCGTCTCCCTTTCCTCGATCACCCTCCCCTTTTGCCCTCCCCCATCTGATTAGGCGCGGACGGGGAAGGGTGGGAGTGGTGGGGGAAGCTCTCCCTTTAAGAGGCAGCGTGCAGTGACGAATTGTTGAAATTGCCATTGCAGGATGGCATGCCGCTATAAATTCATTGTTCCACCTCCTCGCATCTTCACAGCGCTCGCGCTGCTCTCGGCGCTCGCAGCGGCCGACTGGGGATGACGGCGGGCAGGAAGACGCCGCAGCCAGAGGAACACGGACGCGCCGCTTTCCCAGCTCGCCGCAGGCCGCCCCCTGCGTTTTTGCTTTAATTTTTATGGCTTTTTCCCCTCTCTTTCTTCCCTTGCTCCTGGTTCCAGCAGAGCCAAGGAAACCCACAAAATAAGAAAGGAAGTGGGCCCGGGAGCTTGGAACCTCGGCAGCTAGCGAGTCCCCAGCAGCAGGGGGCGGGAGGCAGCGCGCACCAGTTGCCGGCCGGGTGCGCGGTACCTTTCTTACTTTTCTGGGAGCAGCGATCGTGGCTGCCTTTGGATTTTTCTCCTTTTCTCATATTTGCTGAATCTCCACTACCCGGCTTTTTTCTTTTCTTTTCTTTTTTTTCCCCTCCGCCTCTCTCTGGAGCACGAATCCAAACATTTTGCAAAGCAACAAAGAAAAGTTCGCACGCTTGCACCGCGGCCCGGACAGACTGGCGCTGCTGCCGGGTCTCCCTCCCTCTCTCCGACACTTGACTCAACCTTGCAAGCAAGACAGAGTGTGTGTGTGTGTGTGTGTGTGTGTGTGTGTGTGTGTGTGTGTGTGTGTGTGCGTGTGCCCCATCCCCCGCCCCGGTAACTTCCCCAGCGAATAACAAATACCCATAAAGTCCCCGTCGCGCAGCCCCTCCCCGCGGGCAGCGCACTATGCTGCTCGGGTGGGCGTCCCTGCTGTTGTGCGCATTCCGCCTGTCCCTGGCCGCAGCCGGCCCCGCCGCCGCACCTGCCCAGGATAAAGCCGGGCAGCCCCGGGCTGCTGCAGCGGCCGCCCAGCCCCGCTGGCGGCAGGGGGAGGAGGCGCAGGAGCTGGCCGAGCCTCCGGGTCATCCGCACCCCCTGGCGCAGCAGCGCAGGAGCAGCGGGCTCGTGCAGAACATCGACCAACTCTACTCAGGCGGCGGCAAGGTGGGCTACCTCGTCTACGCGGGCGGCCGGAGGTTCCTCCTGGACCTGGAGAGGGATGGTTCGGTGGGCGCCGCTGGCTTCGTGCCCGCAGGAGGCGGGCCAAGCGCATCCCGGCGCCACCGGAGCCACTGCTTCTACAGGGGCACAGTGGACGGTAGCCCCCGCTCCCTGGCTGTCTTTGACCTCTGTGGAGGTCTCGACGGCTTCTTCGCGATCAAGCACGCACGCTACACCCTGAAGCCGCTGCTGCGCGGGCCTGGGGCCGAGGCGGAAACCGGGCGCGTGTACGGGGATGGGTCTGCGCGGATCCTTCACGTCTACACCCGCGAGGGCTTCAGCTTTGAGGCCCTGCCGTCGCGCGCCAGTTGCGAGACCCCTGCCTCCCTTCCAGGGCCCCGAGAGCGCCCCCCGGCGCGCGGTAGCCTGGGCCGACGCACAGCGCCGGCCCCGCAGCTCCTGGACCAGTCAGCTGTCTCGCCCGCTGGGGACCCAGGACCGCAGACGTGGTGGCGGCGGCGGCGCCGCTCCATCTCCCGGGCCCGCCAGGTGGAGCTGCTCCTGGTGGCTGATGCGTCCATGGCGCGGATGTATGGCCGGGGCCTGCAGCATTACCTGATGACGCTGGCTTCCATCGCCAACCGGCTGTACAGCCACGCCAGTATAGAGAACCACATCCGCCTGGCCGTGGTGAAGGTGGTGGTGCTAGGCGACAAGGACAAGAGCCTGGAAGTGAGCAAGAACGCAGCCACTACACTCAAGAACTTTTGCAAGTGGCAGCACCAGCACAACCAGCTGGGAGATGACCACGAGGAACATTACGATGCAGCCATCCTGTTTACTCGGGAGGTAGGTCCAGCTGGGATGGGTGGTCCCAGAGTTGGGATAAGGAGGCTGTTGGAAGGGACAGTCTTGCTGATGGCTTTGCTTCTTCCCCAACTACCTGCTACTATGATTTGTTTCACTGCTTCTTGCGGGGAAACCCAGCCAGCCTTCAACTCTGCTTCTGTGTTCAGATTGGCTCCGGCAGCAATTTTTGCCCTAAATAACTAGACCTGCTTAGGCAATCAAACAGCAATCAATATGCTGGCTGTCATCCGGTCTGAGATATGGTGGCATAAGTATAGAAACAAGATAGGAAGGCACTAGAATGCTTGGGAAAATGTAATAGTTAAATGTGAAAAAAGGAAAGCAAGATTGATTGCCTTGGGAATCTCGGGTATTCTACTTTCTGGTGAAACCAAAAATGTAACTGTCCAACCCAATCGAAAGCGCTTGATGGTTCATTCACAACACTCACTTTTTTCTGATGACCTCCTTTTGTAAATGCCCACACCTTATTAGTTGAATGCCATCTGCTATACAAGCCGAGGAAGGACTTTCCCTTCCCAAGGACTCCTTTTCCAATCTGAATCTCTAATGGAGTTCTTACGCGTCCACCTTGGAACTTCAGTTCCTGGGAAGGAAGGAGGGTTGGGAGGATATAGTTACCCAATCAGCTGAGGGGACAAACTTGTGAAGTTACTTAAGAACTCCTTTGCCCAGTTCACCAATGTGTCACATCACTGCCCATGCCAACTCCGCCACCGCGGAAGGGTCACAGCCAGTTTGCATGTTTGGGTTTTGGATGAATACGTTTCTGAAGCCCCAGTGCAGAAGTCCGGGCAAAGAATCAAGACATGAGGAAGGAATGTTTTCCCAGGATTTCCCTCTTTTAAGAAAGACGGTTACAGGAAAGGAAAGAAATGGATACTTATAGGCCCAGAGGCTCTGGGAGGAACACAATATCTATTTACACAGTCATAAGACCACCACGTTAGTGTGACATTTAGACAAAAAGTCCAGGTTGATTTGGGGCCTGGCATGAACATAGTTCTGAGCCTCAGTTTTCACAACTTTGCTCCCATTGGCAGTCTTAAATTGTGCTTCTCAAATGCCTGCTAAGAATTTGACTTTTAAAGCTCATTCTTTAAGTGCTTGAGACCCATCCAGAACAGATGAGGGATTGCAGACTTGGAAGTATTTTGTGAAATCATGGTATGAAATGAGGCAAACAGAACAAGGATAGGAAATTGAATGATGGATTGCAGGAGACCAGAATCACACAGCTTCACTACCTAATTCTTCTATTTTTACTAAGGCACCTCTGGTATGAAGGAAAAGTGTTGATAAATTTGGAGTAGAGAAACACTTGTGGTTCATGGGGTGGACATAAATGTAAACCACATGTAAACAAAGACACTGAAGGGCGGCAGCTTAGGGAGAGCCAGGCGGTGCTCAGTGCTGTGCCCAACGGAAAGTCTTTCTCCTCATTAAATGACCTTCTGGAAGCTATCCTTTAATTCCTCTGCACAACATTAGTCTTTGAAACTGTAGAACATTCGTTTTGTAGCTTTCTCTATGAAGTGAAGTTCTGTAAGACTATCCCTTTCTTATTTGGTTTTCCAAAGGTTTTTTTTTTTTTTTTTTTCTGTGAGCAACTTTCCATGTCTGGGTTTCCTTGCCTTGCTACATCACAAGAGGCTGCCAAGAAGGAGTCTTTGGAGAGTTTATGGAAGGAGGCTCTCTAAAGAAAGAGGAAAAAATACTTTTGTGGGCATACTGTTCCAAAGAGTAGGTCATTTTAATGGTTCAATTTCATTTTTTAATGCAAATACACATTTCATAACTTTTAAATGAATAAAAATTAATGGAAGGTCCATTACTCTCTACCTCCTGCTCTGTAATTTTCCTAATTATTTCCCTACTCCCTACAAAAAGGAAACTAGTTAGTGATTCTAAATGATCAGTCTCTTCTTTTTCTTTTCTTTTTTTTTTTTTGGATTTGTTTCTTGTTTGGATAGTTAATAATTCCCATTTTCCTAAACTCTGAAACTTATCAGCATGTTTTCAAAGCAAGAAAGAAATAAATTAATGGTCTATCTTAATTTTAATAATTATTATAATGACATAGATTTTTCAAACTGGTCTACACATGGAAAATATTTTACATGGGTCCTCCCTGGCCTTCTTGCCAAGCAGAAGCATACTTTTAGTAAAGCAGATCTCATTTGTGGTTGGCCTTCTAGTATAAACATCTAATTCCATGAGAACTGAATATTTGAAAAGCATGTATATTATGAATATATGCATCTAATTTAAAAGAGTGCCATTAATTAGGATGCTGAGAAAATTATTTCCAGACCTTTATATAGCACTCATTGAAAGTACTTCAAAATTAATCTCTGCCTAATACCTCAGATAGTAGAAAATAAGAAGGCTGATAGAGAGACAATCTGTGCCCTTTTTTTTTCATGGACATCAAATATCTTAAGGCCTAAAGAAAACTTTCATAGCTATTTCTTTTTCAATGATAAATGCCCAGAGTTGGCACCAGGATTCTACTTTTACAACTCTGTTTTGAATGTAAGAAGTACGTTGCTTAGCAACCAGACGCCAAGCCATCAGATCCATGTTTTGATGGGCTCTGAGTCCTGTTCAAATTTTGTGTCCAGATGTCTTTTCCTAAATTGCTTGTTTTCCAGGCATGAAGCAAATGTGTGAGGATATGTTTTCCACCCCTGTTTACTAGCTGAGGCCACCTTGAACGTTGCGTCTGGGATTCTGCAGAATAGTGCTAGTAATTCATCTATCAAACTAACACACTTCACTGTCAGGACTGTACCCAACACCCCAGTACTGTTCTAATTAGAAAGAGTTAGCACCAGTGAATTTTCTGACATAGAAGCCGTTTTCATTTTGGAATGGCACTAATGGTAGGATTCACACCACTTCTGCCACTGAACAGTAGAAATCCAGGATTTAATTTTGCTTCCCAGAATCCTTTTCCTGATTGCCTCTTTTATTTTAAAATAATTTATTTAAAGACAGACTCTTCAACTCATTTTGTAGACCATTCACTCTTTTTTAGAAACAAAAGCCGACCTCCTTGTTGACAAAATTGGAAATTGTTTAACATTGTTCCATCCCTGTACACAACCAATGAAAGTCTTACTTTCATAGATTGAAAGCACTGGATTGAAATGGAGCCAGCTAAGGGACTGGGCAACATAGAAGATTCATTTGCTTTCATTAACTATCAACATGCCAGTTAAAAGGCCATCATCTCTCAACTAAAACTCTCTTCTACATTCCGCCTTATGATGCTGGGGCTGGGACTCCACATATAACATTTCTCCTTTACCTTCCATCTCCTTATTAGGTTCTACAATAGGGGGCAGTAGTGGGAGACCAGAACTTGGAAGAGGAAGAAAGATTTGTTTGTTTCTTATTGGCTTGCTGCCTAGACTAATTTAGTCGCATGTTTGAGTTCAAATCTCATTTAAGTCCGAAAGTGGACCCTTACCAAGGCATCAGAGCTTACAGGTCATTCCTAATCAATAAAAGCCCAAATAACTCAGAAATGGGGAGGTTGGTAGCATATAAAGTCTATTACAGAGAATACACCACAACAAACAGGACCTATGACATTATTGTATTTCTCACATTCAGATTATGCCTACGTGCACCTCCTATGTGTGAGACACTCATTTAGGTAGCTGAAGGTAGCAAGATGTAAAATACTTGGTCTCTGCCAACTGCCCTTATCCAGCAGAGAGGAAGCAGATGCATGCATACATTGCTTTAACGTTAGGAAAACTCAGATAAATGCTGTAACCGAACTGTAAACAAAATCTGTGAAAGGAAAGGGGAGGGAACAGTTTATTCTGCTTATGAACTTTATACAGGTCTTATTGCAAATGTAGGACTGAATTGGTCCTCAGAGGATTAATAGATTTGATTTGGATTCAACCAGCTGTTATTGAGCATTCTAAGGTACTATCCATGGCCGTTAACTATTTTGTAATTAATCCCTTCAACAACCTGCAACCATCATACCATTGTTTTAATTTGACAGGTAAGAAATTCATATGAAGGAAAACAGAGATAATCCCTTTAGAGTAACAGCTGACAAGTGACATAGACAGAAGATAGTCCTGTCTAGTGCTCTCTAAACTAAAAATATTATGACTATTATAATTTATTCAAAAATTCAATATGTTCCTCATAGTCAGAGAGAGATTCAGAGGTTTAAAAAAGTGGCCCCTTTCCTAAGAATCTATTCCTGGAAACAGACAAGGAAATTGATAATTGTACAGCATGATGACTTTTATGATAGATGTGGTCGTAAGATATTATGGAAGTACATAGGAAGGTTGCAACCTCATCTGAGTTTAATTTTGAAGAAAGAGTAGGGGTTTGCTAGACATATGAGAAGATAGTCATTCACGACACACACCCAACTATCATGTACAGTGGCCCAGAGGCAATGGAGTAGTAGATTACTCTGAGGAAGACAATAACAACCAGATGATAGAAGAAATTGTATGCCATGTGTATTCTTCTGTGTGGACTACCATAACAAAATACCATAGAATATGTGGCTTTAACAACAGAAATATATTTTCCCACAGTTCTGGAGGCTGGAAAATCCAGGATCAAAGTTACAGCCAATTCTGTTTCTGGTGAAGGCTGTCTTCCTGGCTTGTAGACAGCCACCTTCTCACTGTGTGCTCACATGGCCTTTCTTGGGTACATGAGCACAAAGAGAGAGAAAATACTCTCCAGTGTCATTTCTTAGAATTCTCTGATCAGAGCCCCACCCCTACGACCTTTAACCTTATTTACTTTCTTATAGGCCCTGTCCTCAAATGCAGTCACACTGGGGTTTAAGGTTTCAACTTAAGAATTTTAGAAGGACACAATTCAGTCAGTAGCATCATGGAAGAAATTTAAATTGTAAATTAAATGCAGTGAGAATCAATGGAAAGAACATCAGTGGGAAAACATCAGTGACCAGAGGTGTGTTC